CCTCCTCTTCTCTCTCCTCTCTGTGTTCACTTCCTGTAGTTCAGTCACAGTTTCTCCTCCTTGTAGTCACATGACTGTTGGTCTCAGATGAATCAATCATGACTTCATAGTTTCACACTTTAATGTTTTTACACATTGTGGTTAACGTGAACTCTTTATTAGAGACATTTATAATGACAACATGAAGAATAAAATGTTTTGATTAAATATAAACAGTTTCTGCAGCTTTTTCTGACTAAAGCGTTGGTCACAGATGATGTGTTTAAGGACCGTCGGAAAGATGAAAATCAGAAGATTATGAGAGTTGTTACAGCGTCTGACTGATAAACGGTGAAGTTTTGATCGTTTAATGAAAACATGCTTTTCCATCCCGTCAGCAGGTTTATGGGTTCATAGGTCTGGCGTCATAATGCAGTAAATATAAGTAGCTGACCTCCCCCCCTGTGTCCTCAGGCCTGACGTGGGACGGCGTGTCTCCTTGTGTTCGGTGGATGAGTCCCTTCATGGACGTCCTGCGATCTCAAGACGCACCGCAGCTCAAGAGCTTCCCCAGAGTGAAGGCCGACGCCCGGCACAACATCCAGACACACGTGGCCTATCTGGACCTGCTGGTGAGACGCACACTCTCTCTCTCACACGCACTGCTGTTACAGCCAAAGATCAATAAATAAAATCAGCATTTAATAATCTGACTTTTCTGATTCTCGATGCTCTTTTCAACCTTTTTATCTAAAGTGCTCCAAACATTATGATTATTATTATTATTATTATTATTATTTGATAAATAAAAGAAACAAGAGGACATAAGTCTTAAATATTTACACACCAATATGTGCGTTGAACAGATATCTTTCTTGTAAAACTACAGTATTAATTATAAAACTACATTATTAAGGACGAACTATAGAGACGACTTTCAAACAGAAAAAACACTAAAATGCTAAACTTTATAATAAATGTATTTTGGTTTCTTTATGTTCAACCTTATGAAGAGGAGAAATAGAAACTAATAACTTTTAGTTTACATGTTGATTATATTAAACACTTTATTTATTGTTTTTAAATGAGGTTATAAATCTCCAAAGCAACAATAAAATGTTATTAATAAACGGTTGAATATGAATAATCAAAGTGTTATAACTTGATTGTAATAAAATGACTTGTTACAGCCTCTAATACTTTATAAATGTGTTCAATTCTCTCATGTGGTGTTAATAGGTTTCCACACATTTAATAATGTCTGTTAAAAGTTCTCTGCACGTATACACATCACTTTATATCAGCTGATATTTTTGGAAACTCCTTTTTCAGATGTCTGAACATTTTGACTCCAATAAACTAAATAAACATTTTCTTTAGTTTTTATCTCTTTATTTAGTAAAGTGAAGTAAAGCAGAAACTCGTTTAGTTCTCACCAAATATGTATAAATAAATATCTATTTCTTTACGTTTAGCTGCTATCGGCTAACAAAGAAAACGAGCTCACTGAGCGCGCTCAGAATCTTCTTCTCTGGTATTTGATGCAGCTTTTGTCGCCGCCGACTGTTGACTAACATATCATATTTATTTTGAAACTTAAAGGATAAATACCAGTTTACTGTATGTGTGTATGTACGTACATACACACATATGTATGTGTGTATGTACGTACACACATATGTATGTGTGTATGTACGTACACACATATGTATGTGTGTATGTACGTACACACATACATATATATGTGTGTATGTACGTACACACATACGTATGTGTGTATGTACGTACACACATATGTATGTGTGTATGTACATACACACATATGTATGTGTGTATGTACGTACACACATATGTATGTGTGTATGTACGTACACACATACATATATATGTGTATACTCGGTGAACAATGAGACGTTTAAGTTGTAACGTGACTGACGTTGACTCGTTTCCTGCAGAGGACGTCTCGGGACCGTCAGCTCGACAACCTCGACTGTCAGCTGTCGCCCGTCGCCGTGGGAACGATCCTGACTCCGCCCAGCAGCACAGAGAAACCAACCAATCACTGAGCTCGCTGCCTGTAGCACATTTTTGTTTGTTTTTCAGCAACACTAAATCAGGAACTGATTCCTCTTTTTATTTGATTTATATTCATTTGGTTTTAGAAACTTTTGTTTTAAACATTTTCCAGACGAGTAGTGTAATGTTGGTCTCAGCAGCAGCAGCTCTACGTGTAATACTCGATGGTGCTTCAGTCAGACTCTCTGAACTGTGACGTAGAGTTAATTATTATCTCCACCAGACTAAAGTGAGTAAACTCCGCGAAGACGTTTCCATCTGAAGCAGGTCCGCTCTGACTCACGAGCCGCACGAACAAACAGACACTTTATTTGTTGAACATCCAGAAACCTGCAGGTGTTTGAACGCACCCCGGCCCGTTTGTGTGCCTCAATAATCCTTTTTTTAATTTTAATTTTCTTTTAATCTTTATTATTGTTGCAACCTGGTTGCACGTTCTTGTTACATTCCTGGGAAACTTGACATGCAACAGAAAACTGCACTCGATTGTGCAGAATGTTTGCTTTCCTCTCAGTTTTAAGTGCTTGTATTTATTGATGAGCCTTCGTGTGTAGGACGAGATGTTTATATGTAAAAACAAACGAGTGATGAACGACATCACTTTGATTTGCCCAAATGCAAAAGCTATTTATGATTTTGCTCAGTGACACGTGTTGTTGCGTTGCTGTTCATCATTAACTGTTGTACACTTGTTAGTGCCTTTTAAAATAAATATGAACTGTGACTGTAACCCTGAGACCTCTGCAGTGAACCAACCAGCATGTGAACTGTGTACATGTTCAACAATGTACCTTTGTGTAAATAGAGCAATTCAGAAATGTGTGATTTTCTTTCATATTGGAATGTTTTAATAAATGAAGTCGGATGACACTTTGGTGTGAAGTTTTTTTCAACATACGACACGATGCCTCGTTGCAACGTTTGAAGTTACAATTTACTGACTTTTTTTTGACGAATTATACAAAGATTAAATGTATATTTGATATAATTATGACTTTTTATTTTGCCTTTTTATGAAGTTTAAATAAATACTATATTAAGACTTTAATGAGTTTCTCCTCTTTAACAACCCTAATATCATTTTTTGACTTTTAAAAGAAACTACTATGACTTATTTATTTTATTATGCTATTCTATACATTCTAAAGCTTTTTGATACATAGTGTACTATTCTGTGATTTCATGACATTAGTTTGGCTTTTTCTCCCTTTTTGACACTAAACTGACTCTTTGACATGTTATAATAATCTTATAACTACATTGTGTAGCATGTTATTGAATATGTATTTAAAATGTAAAAAAATAAAGTAATAGTATATAGTGTGTTAAACTTTCTAAAAAAGTGTCCTGTGCGACTATTTAATCACACACACTGAGCAGCTAAACCTGTCGGATGTAGTGAAGTAAAAAGTATAAAGTTGCATAAAAGTGGAAAAGTACTTCAAGTTTGTACAAGAGAAAAGTTTGAAACAGGAATTTAACGTGTAGTTGATATCTTGATACATGCAGTAATCAGATTACCTGTGCTTCATGTTTCCGTGGATGAAGTCTTCTCTGCTTCTGTGAAGAGTAACGATGCTTCTGTGCTTCTGTGAAGAGTAACGATACTTCTCTGCTTCTGTGAAGAGTAACGAT